TGCGTAAAGTTTATGCTGCCGATCTCCTCCGCAGGGTTGGCCAATACTAATGTATCTAAAGAACGGTATAGACAATATCTCGGAATATGCTTGGAAGCGATTGAGATCGCAGGATTGCAGAAGCATCTGAATACGACAGTTTTTGTAAGTTTTATTATGTCAACATTTCGCGATTGACGCAAGTGCCTCTTCAGACCAGGTGAATCGGTTCACAATTGGCTTAGCTTTTTGCGAAAGAAGTGTGGAAATTGCAAGAAATAGCAGGAAGCATTGGATTTTAGTGTTACAGGTCAATAGGTCAAGTGGTCATTCTAGTGAAACAACAAGCATCGAGCGTTTCTCATTGATCGGCGCCACTGGTCGTTCACATCTGAGGCATTACTTTGCTACAGTTGTCGATTCACGCTCCGACCTAAGAGAAGATCCTACCATTATCACCACTAAAGCTGATAAACGCCAGAACGTAGTGCTACTGAATAGATCGAATTATGCAGAAAATATGGAACAGCAGTTAACAGCAAGACCTTATGAACTAGTTGAGAAAAAAACCTTATCACCCGTAACGTATAAGAGTAAAAGAGAGGTAGGAAACTACCTGAGGTAGGGAAACATCGGCTCCGCATTGATGACAACCTAGAGGTCTTTGAGTTCAGTGGTTTTCAATCCATGCATTGACTTCAGGCTATTGGTATATGAAATTGGATCCGAGAGACAGATAAAAGACGACATTCATCATACGAATTCCAGACTATGCCAACGGCCCAGCCACGTTTCAGTGTTTAATGCATATTGAATACCTAGGTTCCCCATCAGTGTTTAATTTAGTTATATGATGTCATCGTGCAAGGCCGGTCATTTGAAAAAAGTTCAACAAACTCTGGCTTGTGTTGCAACACTTCGAGTTGCTGGATCCGGACTGAAGCCTCAGAAATGTCAGTTGCTAAAGCAGCAGGTTACATTTCTTGGGCACAATATCGCCCCTTCCGAAATTCAGAGTGACCCGAGCAAAGTCGAAACCATCCGGAAATGGCCGAAACCGATCTCCACCAAAGGAGTACGCCAATTTTTTGTACTTGCATCTTATCACAGGCGTTTTATCCGAAATTTCGCCGACATACTTGAACCGTTACACCACTTGAGACCGAAAGAGAGAAAGTTTCAATGGATTCCCCCTTGTGTTAACGTGTTCAACTCCCTGCGACTAGCCCTAACAAGCACGCCGATCCTGGCGTTCCCCGATCAATCCACTTCAGGTGGCAAATTTTTCCTGGACACCAATGCAAACGGCAGTGGAATCGGTGCCATTTACTCGCAGGTTGGTCCCGACGGGCTGGAACACGTGGTCGCGTATGGAAGCCGATGCCTGAGCAAGCTCGAACGTAACTACTGTGCCACACGTAAAGAACTACTAGGGATGGTAGTTTTTACTAACCAGTTCCGACCTCTTTAGGTTGGCCAATTTTCACCATTAGAACTGACCACCAAGCGCTTAAACGGCATCAGCAGTATGCCGGTAGTCAGTACCGACGTTTCGCTATAGCGCAACCACCAACAGTCGCGCGTGGGCTAAAGATATTGTGAGAGTAGTCCGGTTCCCTACGCGGGATAGAACCCGTATCCTTAGATTACAAGGCGGGCTTGTGATACTTAAGGCTACGGGTCGGGCATCAAGCGTTTACATGGTTATAGAACTTCCGCGACCTGGAAGGTCAGGTCACCCAGTGGTAAGAACAGTTACATGGGTAAACATTTAGTGTGTACAGCGACCTGGTAGGGTGCACAGTAAAGCTGGTGTGCTCTCTTGACGTGTTGGCAAACACCACGTCGACTGTCCACCGTGCTCCCAATATCTGGTAGATACCCTCTCTCTCAACAATTCGATCAGCACGAAATGGTCAACTTTACAGAGCCACAAACCGTAACTAAAACTTATCTACCAGCAACTGATCACCGATGGCATAAAAACCATGAGATGGTGGGTTTGAGCTGGATAGCTCACTGCATCTGCTCAGCCTAGTCGATCTTACCAATGCATGACGAAGTAATTTATTACTAGTACTGTCCAGGTTATGGCAAACGGAATATTTGCACCACAATTGAAGATCAATGCCATTTTGTAGGAGCTCCGCACTAACCTTAGACACCCTGGTCACCGGAAGACGGAAGAAGCCGTAAACAACGATTCTGGAGGCCTGCTCAGCTTAGGAATGTGGTCAACTTCTGTAATGGTTGTCAAGAGTGCATCCGTGCGGAACCGCCTCATCAGCTTCCTTAGGCACCACTACAACCCATCGTGACCAGATCACCCTATCAGATTGTAGGTCAAGGATGCGACACGACCAGAGGGAATCGATATGTTTTGGTTGTGGTGGATTAATTCACTAAGTGATATGAGGTCCTCCCTTGGTCTCACGCTGATGCAACCACAGTAGCCCGCATCGTCTATGAACACTGGGTCGCGCGCTGCATCCAACCGCAGCAGCTTCACTTTGCCTGAGGATCGAATTGCGCGTCGGGGTTGTGTTGCCTTCTAAACATTTGCAAGTTACGTACTACAGCATACCATCATTAAGGTAACGGAGCGTTGGAGCACGCTAACCGTTCTTATAAAGCGCTGCTGAAAGTCTTCACAGACAAGTGCGGTCATCGGGAATGGGATGTCTCACCATCTCATTGTTTCAGCTCACCGTTCAAACATCCACAACTCTAATGTTCATTCTCCCCACCTTTTGGTTATCGGGGAAGATGCGGCTCCTCTTTGACCGGACGTTATTACGACTGGCTACCGATCCGTTACTGGCAACTGCGTACGCCTTGAAGTTACGAAGTGATCTAATTCGCATATGTCAACTAACTGGAGACGCCCTCGCATAAGCCCAGAAACATATACGCTCACCCTGTGCATTTTATAACGACCATGGAATAAAGTGAAACGAAGTTACAAGAAGCACATAATTGTGCAAGAAAACCCCGCGCTGGATAGAAGGTTGCTCTTCGCGAGAGGAAACTGAGAAACACGAGCATGTCTATTGTACACGCCTGAAAAAATCCGTTCGCTCTTAGGGAATATGGATGAACTAACAAGTACCATAAACTCCAGAGAATAATCGCGGCAGGGCATTCTTTTGCTACTAGAGACCTGGATTCACGAGGACGTAGATGGCGCATAGGTATCGGTAGAAGGATTCAAATGTCATCAGAGCGACCGCCCTTGTATCTACCGTAACCGTGGCGATGGAGTCATCAATTTCACCAACACTGCCTGGTGCGTATCTACGAAAGTTCTGTTTTGCTTCATTTCTCAGTGTACTATTTGCTTAGTTCTGAAGTACAAGCCAAGACGTATCAGTGCATACAGCTCAATCTTACTGGCTAAGATCTATATTTCCCCGACTTGTCATAAACAGAAAGCTGAGGCATTATACAATGAGTTTACTGGGGCTGTCATAGAACACACCGATTGTTCCCTGTGTAATTTTGCCCGGTGCTTCAACCGAGTTGACACCGCTATTCTCCCTAGTCTCGGATTACAAAACATCGTAAATTGCCCCACTAGGTAGGATACGATTCTTACTCTCCTATTCCTTGACAAATTGAAGCTGTTCTCCGAGCATAATAAGGCGCCGTGAAACTGATTAGACCACGCAACAATTAAATAGAGTCCTGTGCTCTACTCTACGACAAAACCCAAGGTGACTACTCCCTGTATCAACCGCAAACTCAGGTGGAGACGGTGTTCCGCACAGAATATTGACGACTGCGAGAAATGGTATCATCCACCGAATTTACTTTATTTATTGGCACCGAGGTACCCATCTATTGTAAATTATTTGTATTTTTCTTTTGACGTTTGTCCCTGTGAAAATTTGTTCATCCGTGCAGACAGATCCTCTTCCCTTAACTGAAGCGGCTACGCAGATATACATATATATATATATATACATATATATATATATATATATATATATAACACTTACCCAACAAACAGTTGCTAGAGTCCCACAACACGAGTAAAGACAAAAATAGGAGGAAGAGAGAGAGAGTCAGGGGAAGGATTGCGACGTTCTATGTGCTGTGTAGACAGTGAACTCCCCGGTTGCCCAGGCCGAGGAGGAGGATTGAATTAAGGGACCCATCCTGAATCTTTGATCTTATAGACCTGACCCGCTAGTTACCGCAGTGAATACGAAGGCGGTTGACAGCCTGGTGGTTATTTTGACTTCTCAATGTTCAGTTGCAGTCCACATAGAAGCTGGTGCCCAAAAAGGTTGTTCATCCTCCTCCGTTAGATACTCACCTCCAGTTACAGAAATGAGTGGTCAGTGACCCCACAGCCGGTCACATTGGCTTTGACACAGCGCCGTACGAGCACTTGCGGTATTTGGTGGAGAACCAGGTGACTAGCCCAGAACTCCCCACGCACTGAGACGATGCCGGTGATTGTCCGAGAGTGCTTATTCATCTCACCAGTAAAGCAGGCGAGACTTATTCGCAGTTACCTCCACAAGGAAGGCGTTCCCCGGTCCGCAACCTGCGTCACGGCTACGTAGATAAAAAGAAAAAAGTGTTAAAGGAAAATACAACACTGCAGTAAATTCATTATCTGTCCTCATAAGGGAGCAGTTGAGCCGTTTCGACAACGTGTAGGGTCAGGCTATCCCAGGGCATAGTAGCTATGGTGAACTCTGTAGGACCTTATAACAAATAAACGGGCTTACTCGAGGTACATCAATCCCCAGCGTAGATGTGGTGAAACTGAACCATGACTTCTGCAACTACTACAGCAACCCAAACTGTCTTCAGACTAAATCCCCTCTTCGACAGCTGCACTGTACACAAGCTACCGAAACGTCTTCACTAAGTGAAAGCAAGTGCTCCAGACAGTCTGTCTCCTGTTTTCCTCGAAGAATGTGCTGATTTCCTGACTAAACCTCTGGCTACTTTTTATACATTATGCATGTAATGTAAAATTCCCGACTACTGGAGAGACGTTAATAGTACGTCGATATCAAAAGTGCTCAAGTAAACATCGACCCATTGCTTGTACATCAGTAGCATTACAATTGTTCGTAAACGTCATTCCTGAGAGGATGCTGACACAACAATAGTCAAATGATTCTCTTCAATTTACATGCCGAAGTTCGAGGTCGGTCGAAGACGCAGTAGCCTGTCTTGTACATTTGGTCCTGTCATCTCTGAACAATAAAATAAAATTCGTCCGAGTCTGGTTTCTGGAATATAGCAACGCATTCGGCTGCGTAAACCGTGAATTGCTGTTGAAATCTCTACTCGGTACTGGGATACATCCTTCCATCATCATTGTGTTGATGGCTTATTTTACCGGTTTTAATCAGATTACCCGGTTTGAAGATAGAAGCTTTTCGACTCTAATCACCAAACCCGGGTTCTTCGTGGACCTATTCCGTCACCATTTCTATTTTCCAATTATGCGAGCTCAGTACCAGTGGCAGGATAAGTAACCCTGCTCGAGTACGCAGATGACATTGTGCTGGGCGTCAAGCAATCGAGGACTGCCTCTTCAGTCAAATTGCAAGACACTTAACGAGATTAGATTTTGCTCAAAGGCAAGCGAGCTGCCGTACTGTCGTTCTTTTTACCACACCGGGAAAATCGATATGAACAACTTATCCAGCAATGCGAGGAACTCAACATAGATGGCGAGAGGCTGCACTCTCCCACATCAGTAAAGTACTTAGGTGCTATGCTTGGCTAAGATTCATCTTGGTTGCATCATGTAAAAGAAACGTTTACAAAAAATCCGGTAGTTATCGTTCTACGCTTCGCGCCTGCGAGTTTTTCTGTTCCCATGCTTTAAAAGCGCTTTGTCACTACCTGTGTTCTTCCACACTGCTCACCAGTTACTTCTCCTGGTTTATTGGGCAAATACATTAGGCTAATTTACAGGTCGTAAAATCACTGGTCATGATGCAGCGGGAAGTCAAAATTGACTTTTTTTGTTATATTTGTGTCCCCCCCCCATGTTGGTTCTTGCAAGAGACTATCATCGACAGTAATTGACCACACAAGTCATCCCCTCCATTATGTATTGTATGTATGTATGTGTGTCAACCTCGTTAACCAGACAAAAATACAAATCCATATATGGCCGTACATAAGCGTACCGTTCCTCAGTTTTATCCCTTAGCCAGCGCGAAGTTTACTAGACAAAAGTGTGTTGTTCAATAATTAACAAACCGAATCGTGCTAGGATGTCCTTATTATTTTGGCAATTAGTGATCCACTTTGTTGAATTGAAGTTATATCATGTCTTCTCGCTGAAAGCGAGTGTTACGGCTGAATATGTGCCCCTCTGGATGCAAGCGACGAAGTGCGAAACTATCGCAAAATAATCAAACTTCCATCATATCTAGGCTGTTTGAAAAGAATAGTGAAAACGTTGCTAGTTTAGTATCTTCTGACACACGGGTTCCAAAGGAATTTATGATTGGAACCTCGTGTAACACTTGCCAAGTAATGTTTCTCGGATGCGTCACCGGCTGCAGCTGTCAAAAGGCGATACTAGTGATCTTCCTCGATATGCCCAAAGCCTACGGAAACCATCATCATAATAATACACGTTGGCTGGATGTGGGAACATCTAAAGCATTGCGCCACAATACACAATAAACATATAAAGAGACGCAACACAGGCACGTCAGCTAAGCCACCAGTAACGGATGGACATGGTTTCGGAGTGTTTGCCGCAGAATGTTATATTGTGGTTCAGGAATGAGATCGTGGTTGGAGGGGGAGAGATAAAGAAACGCACAACACAAACGCCACTGAGGTCGGCTCCTTGCCATGTCAACAAACGCACCGAGCTAAACGAGTTCACCATCTTTCGCCCCTCAATCAGTGATCCGAGGGTCTCCAACCAAGGCCAAGGACTGACGGCCGAAGCACCAATAAATCGTGTGAAAATAAATGCATGGTATTGCACGGCCAGCATACTGTCAGGTTGCACAGGCCTAGACAGCGGAACGATTAGGGATCTCAAGCAAAGCTTTTGGTTAAAAGAAAACCTGATCGCAACGCAGCGGGGTTTCGGCACTGGTATTCAGAGAGTCTTACGGAGTATGTGGCCATTCTCAACCCCGACCCCCAACTTTAAGCGTCAGGAAATTGTGTGCCCAACATGCGGTTTTGTTTGAAACTCAAATCAATAGGTGTATGCGACTCACTTCTGGCTGCATTTATCTCCTTTTTGGAGAAGCACATATAGATCGCCTTCCTAGCTACTCTGCAGTCGCAACAACGTGCAATAACCAGTGGAGTTCTGCAATGCGGCGTCCTTACTCTCACTTTGTTCCTTCTGTTTATAAGCGATGTTTCCGATAAGCCAAACATAAAAAGCCATTTTTTTGCGTGTGTGCGTGTGTGAAGCTCGTCTATACCTTTCTACATGAACATCTGCGTATAAGTAGAAAAACAATACAAACAAACCTGGCCAATTGAATGCTTAATTGATTTTCTCGTGCACTAGTTCCGAATCCTCTGTCACAAATGTAGCATCGCATCAGACAGCTTAACTCTAAAAAGAGATCTCATATATACATCTTAGTTCGTCCGTAACGTAGGAATAAGCTTTAATGGCTTGTTAACCTTGCAAACTAACGCTTAATAACAGATATCAAGTGGAAAACGTGTTCAAAACTTAATCAACAATGCAATAATATTTAGTGTATTTGTCCCAGCAGTTTACAAGCTACATAACAAAGCTCTTCTAAGGAACAGCACCAGGCAGGTTTCGCCAAACCGGGGCTCAACAGAGTTGCACATCCTTCGGTCCCCTATTGGTGACCGAACCCTTGACCGCTAGAGATTGACGCCAACTATCCAGCAGCCCATGCCACTGAGGCATTGAGGGACGGTGGTTGATCTACATAATTTGCAAGCTTGCACTTTATTTGATTTGCGTACGCCCGCTTTTAGAGTATTGCCCAAATAGAAACAAGCACACGCGTAATCATGATCTACTAACACTGAGCGCTTGCAGCGGTCATTCACTAAATATTAGTGAATGAAGCATCCTTAGAAACATGGCACGAGAGATGTGAGTTATTGCTCATCCATACTATATGGCTAGGAAGACTAACGATGAACCTACTTTTCTTTCACAAACTGCTACACAATTTCAGCTTTAGCTCAAATAATCGGTTTAAGTTTAGGGAGGATGGTGGTTACAACCCAGCTGACATAAAGAGACTGGATACGTTCGACCACAGGTGCTTTCACAGTTTGGCTCGTATCTAGTGGGATATCTTGGATATCTTGTTTATGGTACAGGAAGAAGAAGTGGATTGCTCAGCAACGTTATATCACGCACCAGGCTCCGACGGATGGGCTACGCATGCCAGCCCACCGACTCAGACGAAGTGGCTTATTGGCTTGCTGGGGTTGTGGATGGAGAAAGAGCAGGTTTGGCGAAGCGATGACTTGGTCCAGATGAATGAAAACCCTTACTTCGAAGTTGGCTACGGTTGGAGGCTCTTGGCTCCCTGGTTAGGTTTGGCTGGATACACTTGTTGATATGACAAGGAGCTGTTCTCTGGAGCGCTTGATATGTGAATTTCATTGTCCCTCCACGCCCGCTTAGACTCGCCCTTCAACTACGATCTCATGTACTAGGCATTATGCAACTATTTTGCGGCACGATGGTCGGCTGTTAGCGCTCCGGAACGACCTCCATCCGCTACTGGTGACTCAGCCGACGTGCAAGTTGCAAGTTTTTTTCGTTTCTTTTGTATTGCGACACAATCGCTGAGATGTTTTTCACCTCTAACGAATGAGTATAATAATGATGATGTGCCTACAACTTAGGGAATCGAAAATTCATTCTCCCGAAGCATTTGGTGGACAGGACTGGAAGAGAAGGTCTGGTGGACAACCTGCCACTTGGAGAAGCCGCACGAAAAAGCTAAGGAAACAACTGGCCTCGGCCGGTTGTTGTCGACTATCTTTTGGGGTCCGAGAGATGCGGATAATTGCTGGTTGAAGACCTTAAAAACCATGGCTTAAGCTCGATGTCAGTTTTCCTGTTCAGGAAAATATAATCTGTGGTACATATATTTTGCCATCGGAATCATGGCTGAACAGGAAAACTGGCATCGATCTTAAGCCATGGTTTTTAATGTCTTCAACCAGCAATTGTCCGCATCTTTCGGACCCCAAAATATAGTCGACAACAACCGGCCGAGGCCAACTGTTTCCTTAGCTTTTTCGTGGGGCTTCTCCAAGTTGCAGGTTGTCTACCAGACCGTCTCTTCCAGCCCTCTCCAGCAACTGCAAGCAACTCACGACGCGAGTAACGTAGAGCTGGCATGCGCAATACGTGTCCCAGCCACTGCAGTTGATGTAGTGAGACGCGCTCCTCGAGTGAGTGACTTCCGCGTCCCAAGGCATGCTGTCTAATTGCCACATTGCTTACGTGGTGCTGCCACCACACACGGGCAATGAACCGCAGACAGCGGTGCTCGAAGACGGATAGTCGGCGAAAAGGTTACATATACGAATGGGCCAAG